AGCTATTTCATTGCATTCTGTTAACGGTGATTCTAAATATTGCGCGGAAGTTTCTGTTACGGACAAAGAATCCGTACAAATTTCAGGAATAGTCGTATGATCGGTACTGTCAGATCTATGATTCGGGGAAGCTTCTATCTGGATCGATTGTGGTTTGGACATTATGTTGGTACCAATACTTTCCTCGACTACATTATCTTGATTTTCAATGTCTTCAGACATATCAACCGTATCGTCTTTACTAGAAAATGCGTTAGCGGGTGGAAGTCTGTGAACGGAAATGACAGGAGCGTCTAAAGATTTAGCACGTCTTTGCGCAGTTGGTGATTGCGTTGCACTTTGACGTTGCAACGCACCAATACCACTACCCTCAGACAAGCCAAGACGTGCACGTGCGAAAAGTATAGGACTTTGTCCCCGTTTACGTAGTACTATAGGAGATTCTGTTAAATCTTGCACGAATGAAGATTTCTTAACCTCTTTAACAGCATCTCCGCCTGTGCTACGTTTCGATTCTAAGGTCTGATCAACTTCAGTGTCATGCTCTTTATCTTTTGTATCTTTCTGTTCAATCTCTTGTTTACCTTCACTTGTTATTTCTCCTTCTAAATCAATTTTGGCCTTCCCTTTCGGTTGCGTAGTTTTTAATTCATATTGAATAGTGACATCCTTCGTGACAATAGCCTTACTATCACTTTTGATATCCACTTTAACAGTACTCTTTGCCTTCTTTGGAGATACTTTTTCAACGGAATCTTTCTTTTCTGTACTTCCTAAACTCTTAGATATACCCAAAGATTTTGGTCTAACTTTGTCACTTTTAATCGGAGGACCTTTGATCAATTCGTCATCTACTGAAGCTGACTTCCCACGTGTGCTTTTCGTATCATCTTTTTCTTCTTTCGAACTTGAAAACGGTTTGTCGGATAGTCTCGTAACGGACTTTGATCTACCCTTTTGCACGATACTAACCTCCGGCACTACGTCCGTTGAATCGATTATTATTATTTCCTGAGGCATCTCTCCAAGCTTCAATTTAGATTTATCGATTCTAGAACTGGTTGTCGGTGTTTTTACTTCTTTGGATGCGGTTTTCTTCAATGGCGGTTTATCTCCTTCCAAGGATTTAGATTGCTTCTTAAAATCTTTTTTCAGCTCTGATTTAGCTTTCTTCGCTCGTTTCGGCGATATATCTTGAATTATATGCTTGTTTTCTACTTCAGGCGACAGTAAAGTATCTATTGGTGCCTTTTCTTCAGCCAATGACAACGATTTAGATCTTAATGGTTCGGCATGAGGTCGAAGCATAAACGGGACGAATTCTGGTACCTTCAAACTATCTAACTCCAATGCAGGTTTAACGGGTACTTCGTCTAAAGGTAAATCTGCTACTGGTTCGACGAAATCATCAAATCCGGTATCGATGATCTTAGGCCTTGATACCTTAGTAGTAGAATTTTTATTGACTTCAGAAAATTTCGATTCTATGCGTTCTAATATGCGTTTTGTTTTTTCAGGAATACTTGGTTTCTCTAATGATTTTGGCTTAGCTGGAATTGTAGGTTTTTCATCGATCACTTCAGTTTTTCTCACGGGTGAACTTTCGTTCTTCTTATAAATATCTTTACTATCAGCGGATTCTATTTGATTTTCCTTGTCGTCAACTATTACTAAACCTTCTTCGATCGTCGTCACCGTTTCCTCTACCAATACTTCCTCCTGTTTAATCGTTATTTGTTTCTCTTCTGTTGTAATTGTAACTGGATTAGGTATATCTGGTAAGGGTATCTTTTCTATACTATCCTGTTTTTCCAAACTATCGTCCGGTGTTTTAAGACTATCCTTTGAGGATCTCACCTCTTTCGAAAGTTCGACTTTGTGTTCTAATTTAGATTTTGTTTCTATATTAGCAGGCTTTGGAGCCTTGGTAGGACTTTTTGAATGTGCATCTGGTGATCTCTTTTTCTGTATTACTGAAATTATTGTTACATTAGGATCCGTAGGTGATATCTTAGGTGACCGCTTTTCTATACTTGAAATGATAGTAATATTTGGCTCAACTGGAGATAGTTTTGATGGCTTCTTATCCAAACTTGATGATTTAACACATATCCGCTCGTCAAGACACATTTCTGTTCTTCCTTTATCTAGTGACATTGCTTTTTTCGGAGATTTATCTGGCGATCTTGAACTTGCCTTCGAAGGGCTTCTATTGGGTGATAAACTACAAAGAATACTCTTTGAATCGGTCGGTGATAGTTTTGAAGTTGGACTTAAAATACTTTTCGGTTTGTCTGAAGGACTTAATATCGACTTTGGTCTAGTAGGACTAATAGAATTTTTTATTTTATCTGGCGATAACTTATGACCCGGTTTATCTATGGACGTAAGTTTCGATAGATCGAAGCAGGAAGTATCGGTTACCATCTTCAAAGGTAATTTTGGTAAATCTTTGATAATACTCTTGGAGTTCTTCGAGGTTTTACTACTGTCAGACTCAGATTTTTCGTCAGAAGCAGTTCCATTCATAACATGACGTTTGTGTAATGTGTAAGGAATATCGATATTGGACTTTTGAATAATTACTCCATCCGAAAATGGATCTTCATCTCCGGAATCGGCAGGTGTTAAATCTATAGATTTTTGATGCATTAACATGTGACGTTTACTATTTGAACCTAATCTTTGACGCGCTGGATTAGGATCACTCTTTGTACGTTCTACGGGAGTATGACCAGGTATGGTTTCATCGAATCCTAATACAACACCACCGATAACCTTTGGTTCATATTCGGTGAAGACAGTTTTAGACTTGAAATTGTCCATTTCGTGAGGTACACCAATAACGGTATCCGTTCGAGATTCTAACGATAATTTTGCTTGACGTTCTCGTTCACGACGTTCATTGTCCTTTCGTGCTTTCTCTAAACTCTTCCAATCATCTCGTTCACGAGGTTTGTCCTCGGATTTATATTTATCTAATTTACCTTTACTCTTTCTACCGGATTTCGAATCAATTTTCTCTAAACTTCTTTTCCAATCCAAGCTTTCATAATCCAAACATTCAAGACTTTTTCCCTCACGCGAATCTAATTTATTTAAATACTTACGTTCACCAGCGTCTAATTTTTCTAAACTTTTACGTTCCAAATTCTTGAACTCACCTTTTCTATCATGACTTCTACTATATCTTACATCCGAACGATCAGTAAAACTTCGTTCTAACGATCTCAAACGTTCAATCGTTCTCGGATCAAAATCGAACGTTGGTTTATCCTGAGAATTGAGCTTCTCGACGCTCTTACCACGTTGTTCTTTTGACGAAAGTCGTTCGAACGGACTTTTGTTACCAGAATCAAAACGTTCCAAGGTATGTCTTTGATTGTAATCAAAAGAAGAAGTCCTACCACCCGAACTCTTTCTAGTTTCACGCAATTCGATTCGATCAACACTTTTCCTACGTTCTCTCGACTCCATGTAACGATAAACATTTCGTTCCTTAGGACTTCTCGTCAGATGTTCCACACTACTACGTAACCCGTGAGAATCTAAACGTTCAGCACTCTTACCCCTAGTTTCATAAAAGTCAGCATAAACTACGGAACCTTTCTCTTTCAAATCTAAACGTTCAAAACTTCGATCCCTATTCAACCGTTCGATACTTCTACGTAACTCTTTAGTATCATTACGATCTACGCTACGTCGATCGAGTCTTCGTTCACGCGAATCAAGACGATCTATCGATCTCCTTTCCTTAGAATCGCTCTTTTCAATTCTTCTACATTCTCTCGAATATTCCCTTTCGGCACGTTTTTTCTCCTCCCTTTCAATACTTTTACGTTCCTTTTCTTGAATCTTCGAGATTACTTTTTCAGACTTCTCCTCAGTATCTTTAACTTTTTTATCCCTAGATTTATAACCACGTCCTAAACTACCCGTCTCGTCGTACGAACGTGGTATGTGATCCTCCAAACTGGCGATACTTCGCGCCCTTACTGTTCTCGCTTTCGTGCTATAATCAACTTTACCTGTATCGACGGGACTCAAGTCATCGTCGATTCTCGATTTCGGACGCATAATACCCTCGTCCCGTAAAATTTCCGAATCAACGTGAGTGATCTTATATTTCGGCTTTAAATTCTTCAGCTCGTTAAGAACAGTAGCCTTTTGCTTTTGCACTTGTAAGACGACAGGATCCTTTCGACTGGAATCTTGGTGAGGAATGGGAGTTTTACTAGGTTGTTCTATAGAAGCAGCGTGTCTAGTTTCAAATTTACGTTCTATTTGTGTATTCGACCGTTGTATCCTAGATTCGGTAATAACGTAATCACCGTCCGTTTTGGTTACAGCTGAGTACCGATCAATGGATTTTGTTTTGGTATTCTTAAGATCCGCGAGCACGGATTTAAATAGCTGCTTATCCGAGGGCTTAACTGATCTATGTTTGATAAAAGAATCGGTTTCCGAATCTATTTGGAACATTTCGTGTTCGATTCCTTCATCACTATTGTCGGAAAGCGGTTCGTTATCCTCGTGAGCACTGGAATAAGACTCAGGATATTCAAATTCGTGCTCACGTTCCAGAAGCTCATAAGAATCATGCGAAAGATCATCATGTGAAAGATCTCCAGCTGGGCCAGACTCTTCATGACCTGATTCGGTAGATAACGACGATGTTCCTGGATAGGAGCTACTATAAACACGTTCGGGTACGGAATCGTGATCTAAGGAAGGTAATTTCGAACTAGCGGCACTATACGAACGATTAGTATCGTCGTAACGCGTTACAGGATTATCTAATTCGCCCTGAGAGGGTAATTGGAAGGGCTCTAAAACAGGTTCACCACTATTTGTTTGATCCTTTGAACGCGCCTTGCCAGAATCTTCGAAGCTAGATGCATACAACTCGCGACAACTGGCAGATCGTTGCCAAGGATGCCTAGGTATAGGTCGCGGTGCTGGGAATTCGGGAGGACTGCTGTTAGAGGGGCTGATACGACCTGCTGATGAAATCCGTTGCTGATTGGTAGCAAGCGTCTGCCGCTGTGCTGGAGCCTGGCTGGGGGTGGCTGGCGAATGGACGTCGATAGAGGTGAGCGTCCGAAACGATGTAGCTGTGTCGTCGCGACGGTGAATCGTCCCTCCCATCGAGACACTCGTCACAGTCGTCGGAGAATCCAGTGTCATCGAGCCGCATGATAGAGACAGAGCTGGGGTTGCCAGGGCTAAACATTCATTAGTAATATACATATATATAACATACATACAACATTAATCTCTCATAAACAAGAGTGCACTATGATAATGTAAATTCTATCAATATATAACATATATATTAGCGTTAAATTGTATAATTCAGTTTAGTCGCGGAAATCCTAGACTTTACCCGAAATAATTAGACGTTTTTAGAAAAGCATATAAAAAGAATTTTATTATACACTAAAATTAGTAGTTTTAGGAAATAACAAGATTATATATGAATTCACAAAAGGCGAATAGTTAAAATATGAGATTGAAATTTGATCAATCTTTAAAATCTGCTTTTCTTTCTACAACAATGCTCATAATTATCCGTTCTTGTTTCTACCTGTACTTTTAAAACCAAGGTTTTATTAGTCGTGCTCTTCTATTGGATCTAATCTACGGATCTAATTTCAATTTCATACCTTAACATTCGCCTCTTGTAAATTCATATATTATCTAGTTGAAGTATGTAATTATGTCTAGTTTCATATTTAAACAAGTCAGTGTAGTTATTTCAAGATTTAGTTAGTCATTTCATGAATTAACGAATTTCACAAAATAACAGTATATATATATATATATATGATATATATATGAACATAGTGTAAATCGTGTATAACAAAACCGAAACTATGTAGGTAAATAGATATAGTTTCATAATTTCATATATCATTTCGAAAATTAATAATGCATCATAATAAATAATTAAAATAATTCTAATACAATTTTTTTCGTTTTTGTGTATAGTTTCGAAAAGCTTCCTATATATAATACGCTAATCTACTCTACCGTTACAATACTTCGAATACAATACTGCGAAATAAATATAACAAAAATTTGAGGAAGGAGATAAAGAAGACTAAAAAAAGGCACAGAAATAGAAAGAAAGCTGTTCTGGAGGTTGGTATCGGTCATGGTACATACCAGGATCGCCGAGGGGCAGGAGGGGGTGGGCAGAGATGCTGGAGCTGCCCATAAGTGAGCTGCTCGGAGTGGCCCCACGATAGCCTCCCCCCTCCGAGCCCTGCAATGCCCTACCACCGCTAGTCTGCCGGAACGAATTGGACCTGCGAGCAAGAGAGAGTCAAGTTCAGCATCAGACTTAGGCTACGAAATGCCAAGCCTGCTCAATTTATCTGTTCTTTTCTCTTACTAATGCAATAGGCTAATACAAAACATTGTCTTTCTTGAAGAGAGAAAAAATATATTTTAATATAAATCTGCTCTAAATGTCAGTGCTGAAATATAAATAGTCTAATCATTAATTGAAAAAAGAATTACTGCTCCAACGCGTGTTTGATATGATACACGGTCAATGTCGCCATTATAATTTCTATTTCGTATATGATTAACAAATCATATAGAATAGATGAATTATGTTACGGTTGAATGAAATAATAGAACTGAATAAGTTAATATAATAATAACAATTCAGAAATAACTGACCCTTTTTTAATAAAATGTTAAGCTATTATTTAATTATAATATGTCAGTAAAGCGTTTCATCGTGGAGTGGTTTCTTACATGTATAATTATGTAACACATAAAAGAATCGAATATGGATAGATATTTATATATATACCTCAAAAGTATAATTCTTTAAAGTCGGCAGATTTAATTTCCTGCATATTTTCGTTATAAAAACTAACAATATAAAAGAAATAAGTAATACATAAGATGCATAAGTACATGCTATTTATTTTGGAATAAATTTTTGCTTCTTTTGACAGAGAGTCTAAATGTTCAGACGTAAGTGCTCATACCATCACAGTTTAAATTCATATAAATATGATCTTTCAACGCAATGCAAACCCTTCTATACTATATTTTTATATCTTGAAGTATAATACTTAATTTAAATGTTAAATGAATATTAAGCTATAACGATCGACAATCTATATACTGTTTTTCAAAAGAAAACTATTGAAACTTTAAAATATTACATAAGAATTATTGAACTTTTAACTCATTCAGTTTATAGCTCATTCAATATAACTTTACTATTAACAAGTATTATACCTTATTATATAAATAATAGACATGTTCATTATATGGTAAATAAGAAAATAATTTCCGTTTAATTTGATATTGATATATGATGATTATGATATTAAACTAATTATGAAGTTACAATTTCTTCTGCTAATACTAGCGGCGTTTCTTAACCGTGCATCGATATCGCACGGTATGTTAACACTCGCCGGTTGTATATACAAGGAGAAAGTGTCATTAAAATAGCAGACTATTTTTTGTTGTAGAATAGACTACTGCTATGGACGAGTATAATGCTGGTTAAAACCGCCAGGACAGTGAAATGTAATACTTTGCAGTATATATTTTTAGGTTACAATGATAAATTAGTAATCACACTATTGAGAAAGGGTACACTGATCATTCGGGTTCAATCGTGCCTGATGGTGAGCCTGACTCCCCGCCACCCTGCCAAGCAGGCAACACTGACAAACGTAAATGTAAAAAAGGAATACAGTAGATCATTTATTCTACAGAAAATGGAATAATTAGGTATATATACCAATTAATATCCCGGTAAAAGCAAGACCGTGCCACCTCCTATCTTATTCACAAGATTGGTGCGTTGATTAATAAAAATCTTAAGATTACAAACTAACATTAGGAAAACAATATACAACTGCATGCAGCACTAGCTACGAATTACTTGAATTTTCAATGTTTTCTTTTAAATTAGCTAACTTACTAAAGCATCAATAAAACTTACCTTTGGAATGTCTGTCTCTTCACATAATTATCACGGACAAATTCAACTATTTGCTTTTGTGTCTTTCCACTATATCTGATAACATAAAGATATTCATTTAAAATATTTAATAGTCAACTTCAAATTTGTGTAAATACCTTGCTATATAATAATTTTTATATTATTTTACTTGTTTCATTAAATTAAATATTATAATACAGCACATTTAACTGTACCTGAAGGATGATCCTCGACTAAGAACTCTTGTTTTTTGTCGTACGACATGTTTGACTACAGAACAACGGAAAAAGCCATGATTTTCTACACATTTTTTCCAGAAGTTCTTACATTCATTACGACCCTCGAAAAAGAATTCGACCGTATCCTTATAATATCCCTAAAACGATAGAAAATATTATATAACAAGAATACTGTATTAAATTAGTTTTATAGAAAAATAACTATTTAAGAATAAAGCTTCAAAGAAATAAGATATACTTACGTAGCCTTCAGGATGTAGTTTAATCAAAAATCGTTTCCGTTTAAAACTAATTTTTCTGATCTTAGCCCAACTAAATGTATTTATCTTGGTATAATTTTGGAAAACTACTATCCCCATGTGAGCTACTGCCAAATTCAACGATACTCTTTCGTGATCCTGATGAAAATATCATACAGTACTTATTATCATTGCAAATAAACTATAGTAAAAACGTTAAATGTTCTCACTTTAGCTGGATGCATTTTCATTCCATAAAGTTCACAGCGTCGTGCTGTTTCTAAAAGATTAAGGTCAGCCTCTGCAGGAGATTGTCCACTGTAAAGATTAATTTATTTTTTATCAATTAATTACATTTTTACTTATTTAGAAGTATGTTAGAATTAACAAATTCAAAAAAATATTCATATCACTTACGCATGTCTTTTATGATTTTCCATGATACGTCGCTCTAATTCTTGATCTTGATGAGGCACAAACTTGTATGTTGATAAATAAGTGTGATCTGGATAATCCTCTATAACATAATCACCACACTCAGCTGAAATAAAAAAAATATTTTTTTATAATTATTTGATAAATAATCTAATTAATATTTATTCTTGTGATATTATTATATTATATGAATTACATTATTTACTGATGTATTAAAAATAGATTATTATTTATGAACAATGATATGCTTTAGCATTACGTACCTTGTACAATATAGCTGGCCATCAAAGCTGCTGTATTATCATTGCATTGTAATAAACCTAAAGTCAAATCTCGTTTGATTTGTAAACAGAATAAATATCTTGTAAACTCCTCTTCAAGTTGTGCAGGATCTGGTGTATAAAATTTAACGCAAAATCTAAGAAGAGGATCAACCAATGATAATCCCACTTGTCTACAGACTGGTTTTTCTAAATCTAACCAATACTGTAAAAAAAAATTGTACATAAATAATTTAAATTAATTACATGAAATAAACTATATTAACTTATAACTGTATAACTAACTTTTGTCCCATTAAGTTCTTGATACTCAAGACCAAAATAATCAGCTTCTAAAAGATGTAACTGTTTGCAAACTTGATCAAACAATACTCTACCTAATGCTTTTGCCTGAAATAAATAAAATACATGTATAAATATAACAACATATTATTACAAGTATAAATACAAAATTATTAGATATTAATGGAAATTTACATAAAAATAAAATTATCTTAATATATTATACATTGCAAATTATATAAAGAATCAATAAATTGATACATATTCCTTTTATCCATGAGCTTGTGTGTGTGCTTGATATATATGTATTTACCGATACATTTTATGTGCTCCAATAGTTCATTCTTGTGGAAATATTATGTATGCATACAGTACACGATGTAACTAATATACAATATGAAGAAAATATATAAAAATACTATTACTAAAGTTTAATAAAGTGGTTTATTATACTAATAACAAGTGAATTCATAAAAAATAATTTACAATATTTTTAATAAAATAATGGTATTTTTCAAAATCAATAACATTTATTTAAAATTGTTTATCTTTTATTCAAGAAATATATAAAACATGTACATACATAATAACATTTAAAAAATGATTGCTTCTTATATTAAAATTAAAAAGTAAATGACTTTTAAAAGATTACTAATTACTTGTAATATCCAAGCACAGCAAGTTTAGTAATACAACAAAATTAAAAGAAGTATTTTTCAGAATAAAATATATAAATCTTTTGATTTTATAGTTAAACTATTATAATAGTAAATCTAATTTTCACACCAATCAAGTTTTTATTACCTTTATATCCAATTACACCTTCTATTACACAACCGTTTATGTTTATTAAACTTCCTATTGAAAGAGCACTTCAATTATCTTCTATCAAGGAATTAAAACGATACTCTGATTCGTTCGAAGGATACTATACTTTGGCAGGAATGCTCACAAAGTGTAATGTTAAATTGAAATTTGAATATATATTTAAAAATAAGAAATTAAATTTATTCTTTTCTATAGCATTCAATGAAAATATTTACTTGTTGTATTTTTATTATCTTCTCATTTGTTACATATTATTTGCAAATTTCATTATAAAGCAAGCAAACAAATATTTTTAATTATTACCTGTACTTGAAACATTGTAATAGTATCATCCAACATTTGTACACGAACTGCAAGCATCTTCCCTGCCTTCCTGGGTGTTGTTGGTGGTGTTCGACTACCTCCATCAACACCAGCTGGAGTTGAATGACTATGAGGCATTTTAGAACCTCCACTGCCCTTCATACTCATGCTGTCTATATCATTCATTTTCACTCATTTATGCTATTATTTATAGCAATATTTAACATTTGCTTCTTTCAAAAAGCCTTACACAACTATTTAGTATTAAGTAGTCATCTGCAAATAAATAATTTCATTTAATGGAAAATGAAATTTATTAATTATCATATGGCACGATGTAGCAAATGTCAATAGGAATTCCTGATAATGTTTAATTCCTTAAAAATGAGACTTACATGCCATTATAAACTAAATAGTTAGCTAAATAATTATTTATTTAATAGAATTTGGAAGCTCATAAATTTGCAAATTTACAAAAAAGAATATTGAAGAGCAATATTTAAGTACTTTTAAAGGTATATATGTGGGATTTCGATTATCGAATTAAATATTTACATAATAACGAAGTAACGGATTGAAAGAAAATATACATATATATGTACATGTATATCCTCTTTTTAAATATTTTTTCCCCGTTAAATATCTATACGAACGACAATTATCGTTATTTAGGACATGCGAGTAGTTAATTATTCTGAATAAAAAGATAAAATAAATTGACGAAGATCAACAAGGATAGAAAGGCATTCGTTTAACTAACGATGTAATCCGAAGAGTAGGGTCATGTAAATACGAATCCATATTATATAGAGAATATGTGTGTATAGTCAGGATAGAAAGTAACGCTATTGGTTGTACAGTTAGTAAAAAAAATCCAATGAAGAAAGGTTATCGGCGTGAATATGCGCGTCGGAAAAAATTTCATAAGAACGAAATACCGCTTCTGGGAAGGCGGGGCGGCAATCGGCTAGAATCTTTAAGAGGTTCCACATATTTATAATATAGATTAATGGCATTAATATGTGCTTGCTAGTACATACGTTATCGTCGATCCTTTAGATATGTACACTGACTGTATTAGCCAAAATACAGTGCAAGTAGAGTTCATTGATCACTGACTACCAAGTGCCCACCGGCACTCTTGCGCTGAGATCGTCTTCGGGATGGATATGGCGACGACGTTTGACAAAGATTCACCAATGTATAAATAATCGTACTATAATAGTCGGACTTTTCTGCGCAATGAATATTATTATTCGAGCGCGCTCGACTGTAAGCCGAGAAAATCTTTGAATTTAACCACATATCACACATCTACGCCTTGCACTTCTATCTTTTTTGTTTAAGTGTATACCAATTGTGCATGAAGAAAAGCAGTGGCTCTCAATTCGAGCACCGCTTAAGTTTTTCATTAACGCCTCATCGTCATTACCGTGGATATACACACAATAACGTTCTTGAGCAAAACGCATTTCTAGCGATTACCGAGGGCGCGTCCACCGGGCGCGACTATGCGTCACAAAGAGCAGCGCAGGGCGGTGGCGGTATCACTATAACGAGGGGTAAAACGATTACGCAACGGAAGTAGATACTAGTGACATCAACGAGAGGATATAGACAACTTCCAACGGATTCATATATGTTCACACGAATTTAAGAAATGGGAATAATATTGAATAACTTATTCTGTAATGACATGTAATTATTACATACATAGAGATCTTCGATATATTATATATATATACATTACAATCTGTTACAATACACTGTCTCCTATTAAATATCATAACTGTTTTAGAAATTTTTCACAGTGTTATCATTATTATTTTTACTTCTAAAAATTATATTCCCTTTTGTTAAAAATTATATCATAATATATAATTTCTTCTGTGGCTGTCTGATCATTTTAATATTTTTCAAAATTCTTACGTAGTTTGATCACCAGATGGCGTCGACGGCTAAAGACTCTTATCTATATGAATGTAGTATTTCTGGAATGTGTATCTGTTTTAAAATGCAAGTAAATATCAACTAACTTGACGGTTAGTTGTTTTCTACAACAGATCAATAATAAAATTTCTTAAAACATATGTCATGTAACAATAATACAAAATATTAATATTAAAAAATTCTTGTTATAAATAACTTATATTAGTTTATTATTCATCATATTCATTATATTCATTATTTTAGCCAAAAATGTCAGATGAAGAGGATACTACTATACTATTGAATCATGGAAATAACAATATTGAATCAATAGTAAATAAGCCAGTAAATGAAGATTATCAATGTATTCTTGAAAGAAATATCAAAAAACAAATTCCTAAACAAAATGATAATTTAACACCATTGCAAAATATAACGCCAAAGAATCAAAATATTCTAATTTCAATGGTGTCACTCTTAGCGGGTATAGCTTTTGGTTGCGATATATCTATAATAAAATCAATGGCACCTTTTATCAAAAGTGAATTTGAGTTAGATTGCTGTGAAATAAATCTTCTTATTGGTATTTGGTTTATAGGTGTTTTATTTGGAGGATTAACTGGTGGTAAATATAATATTTGCATTATATATAGTAAATTGTATTATATATTTTATTATTAGTCTTATTTATTATTTATTTATAGGCATGATAATAGATTCTTTTGGCAGACGTCGGATAATGATATTAATGCTGATGTTTTTAATATTTGGTACCATTTTATCTGCACTAGTCAATCATTATGTTTTGCTATTAATTTCTCGAATCATTTGTGGCTACTCTAGTACAGTATCTACAGTATCTCATTGCATATATATGGCAGAAGTATCAGAGACAAATAAACGAGGATTTAACATTATATTGTATCAATTAGGTGCAGCTGTAGGATTTTTAATAACTATTATTGCTACTATTTTCATAACTTTAGATCATCAATGGCGGTTCTCTCTAAGCATAACTATTGTCTCTGCGTTAATAGCTTGCATTACTACTGTTCTGTTTCTTCAGAAATCTCCACCATTTTTATTGTTAAAAAAAACAAAGAATGTTATATCTAAAACAACATCTAAAAATGCAAAACATACAATTTTTGAAATGCTATCAATCATGATTTTCATGATGATTTTACAACAAGGAACTGGTAGAGAACAAGTTTTATATTATGCACCAAGATTGTTTGTTCTTTTAGGAATCCGTTCAAGTGAGTCTTAGATAAAGATATTCATTTCTTACATTTCAGTTAAATTTGTTCATTTATACATCATTTTGCAAAATTTTAGATGCGGCAGAAGTTACTGCCTTAATATGTTTGGGAATTGTCAAAATTTTCAGTACGATTTGTTCATTAGTAATAGTAGAAAAATGTGGACGTCGCACAGCTCTAATAACATCAGCTACAATATGTATGACAACTGTATCATTATTATCTTTACTTGCAACAATAGATAGAGGTAATAACAATTTAGATACTGAAGATACATATTGCAAACTTGTTGCTGAAGAAAAAATACAGAGTATTTTACCAATTGGATCTCCAACACCATTTCCTTTATTGCCTACACCTTTAGCTGTAATTGAATCAACTCCTGAAACTTGGACACAACTAAAAGCATCTTGTGAAGTAACTAAACAATTATTGCTTATAATCTATAATTTATTATGCATTAAAGTAAAAAAAGAATATTATACTATAAAAACTTACTGTTATCCTATATTATAATAATTAGACTGTATAAATTACAGAATCAAGGTGCTGTCTTCCCAGAAGGTCTCACAAATGGCTTGCGTATCTTAGCAGTAACAACTTTACTTGTATATGAAGCAGCATATACTTTAGGGCTTGGCCCAGTTCCTTTATTGAATCTAAGTGAACTTTTTCCTGTATCAATACGTGGTAAATGTGTCAGTTTTGCAACAACTGTTATGTGGACAACTCACATCTTAACTATTGAAACTCTAAATAAAATTACAAGTAAGTTTTACATATTTTTATATACACTTCAGATATTGTAATCAATACTGATACAAACAAATTAATATTACCATTATTTTACTTTACAGAATCAATGACTTTGGCTGGTTCTTATTTGTTTTATAGCTTTATGTGCCTAATCACTATATTTTATATATTCCTGTTTATTCCTGAAACAACAGGAAAGTCTTTACATCAAATAGCTCAAGAACTCAATAAAATTTCCATAATTACGCGATTATGTAAAAATATATATAGTTTACCACTTATTCGTCACATCAAATGGATCAAAAGGTATGAAAATACTACAAGTAAAAAACAAAGTATTTTAATTTAAAAACTGCTTAAAAACGTGTGGTAATTTAAAATTTTCTTAATCTTTTATGTATAATCTAGTCAGTTAAACGTATCAGATAATTAAATTTTGTTATATACACAATATTATGAATATGTATATAAATTCACATTTCTTAAACATATACTATTTTATTTAATAGTAGATTTTATTAAAACGTAAAGAATAATATATATTTATTATAGTTTAGTATTGTATATTGTTCGAAAATCGTATTTCATGTGAAATACTGTTACAGTATTAAATAAATTAAAAATAAAACAAACAAATGCTGCAAATGTTATTATTCGATTATGATTCAAATAAATTCGGAGGATTTCCACAAATGAATTCTTTAAGTGTACCTATGTAACTCATTTTGTCAGTAATAATTCTTAATAACAAAATGCTTATAAGTATTATGACAGAAAATAGATAAATAATCTTAATATATTTAGAAAATATTTTGTTCTATTTTATTCATTCAAATAATTTTGCTAATAGTAAATATTATAATTGAACATATAAGACTTTTATTATATACAATGCATTTTCTATAAAACAAAAATATTAGAGTATTATATATACATATATGTAATATATATAATCGTATAGTAACTATATTTACTGTGTATGTATGCGTGTGCGTATACATCTGCGTATGCGCGCGCGCGGGTGTGTGTGTGTAACAATAGTATAAAAATTAAAAAAATAGAATATAAAAATAGTATTATTCTATACATATGCTAGAGTCAAAGTATGCGTTATAAATTTAATAGTCCATGTTTACACGTGGAAGAAATAACAAATAAAATATTTAAAATATAATAGCAGTGTTAATGTTATTAACAACCACTAATGCCTATATATTATTAAAATTGAAATTTTATATGTTTTTTTAATAAAACTTGTAGTATCTTTACAGTAGGTTGAAATGGACTACAAATGATTTTTATGAATTAAAATAAAAGATAATATGAAATCATTTTTACAAGTTTTTTATATTCTGTATAAAAGATTTTTTTCTTTTCAAAACTTCTTCTAAAAATACATGTCCCTTATCTTTCATATTAAGTTGTACATTATATAAAGTTTCTTTATTTTCATAAATGTTATTGCTTTCTTTTATGTATACATTACTATATTTATTAGTATTATTATCTTTTACAGTAGCAATTGGAGCTAAATTTTCTTTATCATGAGTAAAAGATAAACCTGTTGTTTTTTTTAAAACAATGGAAACATTTGTAGTTAATGTCTCTGAATTTTTTGAGAAGTTCATGTGTTCTACTGTTATTCCATTATTTGGTGTTACCATATATACAAATTGCTGTGATTTAGGTTCAAATTTTTCTTTTAATAATGACAATTTCTTTTTTGTATAATTAATCGTTTTTTCATGTTTGTTACAATGTTTATCACTGATAATATCGTTATTAGAACACACAGATGTTGATGATTCTTTTACAGATTTGTCTGATATAGGCGTTGATACGTTAAAATTTCTATTTTTAGCAATAGTTTTCAAATCACATGGTTTATCATCTATTATGTCAATTCGTGTATCTTTTATGTTAACTACAGGCACTAAAGAGTTCATTTCAATATACAAATCATGTTCATTTGAATTAAATACATGAGAACTAGCTGTTCCATTAAGGTGTTTTTGAATTTTGTCTTTATTTCCTAAAATTGGGGAGTCAGACAATATAGCATCAATTAAGGGAGTTTTTTTAATTGATTCTATCGTACACGACTTTACCAATTCTCTAATTGTATTTAATTCACATTTTTTTGCAATTTTATCTGGAGATTTTTCGAGTGATTTTGCAAAACTTATATCATCTACATTAT